GAAACCTGCCTCAAAAAACAACTAAAAAGCAGATATGAAATTATTCTGTAGTCACTGCATTTTGCTCCCAAATTTAAATTGCACACTGCCTGGCACAATCACAGCTATGCAGCTTTCTAAACTGCTTGTTTAAGCATTATGTTCTCATTGTGATTTATTTTCCTCCTGGAGTGCTGGAGTGAACATGGTCCAAGTAAAATTAATTCCAAGGGAAAAGAAACTGGTTCAAATCTCCTGAGATCAGGCTGCTATTTCCCCAAGGGAAAACATCCTCTCCATTTGAGAAATGTCCCTCTTTCTTGATGCATTTTTCATGCATATTAGCAAATTAAAATATAGTGGATGTTAGTTGCTGCATGAGGTGCATACATAACAGAAGACACCTAGCTTTTTTTGTTTTTTTCTGTGTTTGGGCATGGTTATCGGCTAATAAAGATGCAATAATCCTAGCAACTCACTGCTTGCATGCGAAGAAATCTCCCAAAAAATTGAAACATATCTTTTTGCCCTGCCAAGCTCCCTTTGGTAATCTCCAACATATGCTACAGTAATAAAAGGTTCATCTACTGAGCAGAAAGCTATAATGCAAAGTATTATGAGGGCCCTAAATTTTGGTGAGCCATCAACTATGATGCCAAGTCTTAAATCTGACTTGCAAATGGGAATTGCTGAACAAGCTTTGGATGATGCGCATTACTTTTTGTTGACTATGTGCCCGAAGATTTTTCAGCTGTGAAAAATTGGCAATGCACTATTGCTCAGTGGAAGAATTGGGGTCAGTCCACCCAAAGGGCAGTTGGGGGATATCCTACATTTCTGATTTATCGATCTGTGTTTCCTTTTCTGTTGCACTCAAGGCAGTATGTACTCTTTCCAAAGCAACTCACCCTGCATAATGAAATGACAATATGTAAATCAAGTATAACAATTCTATTAACTTCATTTAGGGGAAAAAAACGCAGCTTCAGTGGGACATCTTGGAAAGTGGTATAATGCTGGGGGGGGGGCACATATTTCAGTGGTAGGGCACATGCATTCAGCTGGTCCCAGGTTCAATCCTTGGTGCCTCTTATTTAAAGGATCTCAGGTAGCAGCACTGAGAAAAGTCTGAGACCCTGGAGATCTACCTCAATCAGTGCAGGTGCTGCTAGGCTACATAGATAAATGGTGCTGGTATGCGATTTTAAAAGTACTGTGTTCAGTCTTATCATATTGCTGCTTTTTAACCTGATTTGTTCCTATGCTTTTAAAGGCAAAAAAAATTGTAATAAACCGATCTCTGCTGGTTGGTAACTTTACTGCATTTAACACTGAGATCTCACATAGCTGATCTCAAGGTGAACTTTGAGGTCTGAGCAACTGGAGACATATAAACACACATGTACATTTTTAACCACTTTAATTTATCACTTGGGAATCTCTCTCTTCTTTTCCAACCCCTTCAGGTAATGGGTATTGCTGTGTTTGCATGTTACACTGTTCTGGGTTTGCATGTAATTGCATCTCCTTCCAGGTAATGCTGAATAAAATATTCCCACCTTTCCCTAATATGGATGCTTCCTCATCATGCCCTGTGATCAGACCTAGATATAATTCCATGATGCAGGGCATATTCTTGCTTTTCTTCTTTTTCAAATTTCTTTTGTTAAAGTGAATAATACCATGTGCTTCATTGCTATTGTGTGCATACATTCTTTTAAACAAGCATAAGACCTTAAAAAGTACATGGGAACTGAGTGAGAAAGTACACAGGCAGGTTTATGTAAACCTGGATCTGTTTACAGGGCCGTCTTAACAGCATTATGGGCCCCGGGCAAAGCAGTATATTGGGGCCTCTACAACAACTACAACTACTGTTAATTTTGGAAGTTTTCCCATTTTCCAACGGTTAACATACACAGATTAGTATGGGGCCCACAGGCAAGCGCCCATCAGGCCCATGCGTTAAGATGGCCCTGTCTGTTTATGTTTACAGATCCTGTTGTAAACTGACTCTTTAAGATTGCAGTATATGAACTAAGGAATAGCGTGGTTCACATGTACGAATGTGTGAAGAATCCAGTTGGGGGTCAAAATCCAGGGATTGGTCCAGCTCAGCCTCCAGGATTCCAGTCGGTCCAACTGGCACTGGCACCGACTTTCTCTGACATGAGTCAAGCCAGCATGCGGTCTTCTGCTTTTAAAGTGGGCTGCAATTTACATTTTTTTATTTTAAAGCTAGGGATAGTTTTGTAAATTTTGACCAAAAAGTATGCAAATTGCAGCCACAATTATGCAAATTTTCCTGGCTCAAAATATGCAAATTATATCCCTTTTTAAAAGCAGGTGCCCCTCTGACTCAGCTCACTTTTGGCTCTTGAGTCTACAAAGTGCCAACAGTCCATCAAGGAAAAGCAAACAGAATTTCTCAGTGTAATCCAAGCTGTACCATTCCATTTTCAGTTAACAGCACAGGAGATGCTTCATTCATGGTGTGTGATGTGTGAACTTGCATATGGGTTAAACAAACCAGTGTTGACCTTAATTGCCCATAGGTTTTTTTCCCCTTGAGTTTACTTTATGTTGTTTAACCCATAACTCAGTCCATATTTTCTAGGTTTTTACATTACAAAAAGTACTTAATTTTAGGGTGGAAATGACATTCTGGGCTAAGCCTCAGGACCTTGAATGGACTTACTTGCTAGTAAACATGCATAGGAACAGGCTGTGCGTATCTCAGGGCATTGTTGAACCCTTTGTTTGACTTCTCATTGCCACTGACTTCACTAGCCAGAGTGATTTTCCCCAGTCCTCCTCTTTTAATCTGGTATTTGAAGATGACTTCAAACATGGTATATTTATGGAGATCGACATTGCATGTGGTTTCTAATGGCTATATCAAAAGTTAGTATAACTTAAATCCCATTCATTGCTATGGATTTCATCTAAGCAGGACTAAGATTGGATACAACACTTTAAGGTTCACAACATAACTAGAATTCTATTGATGAGCCCTTAATTCCACCAGCAGTTGGAGCTTTGATCCTTCCAAGTCTACAAATAGAAGTTTTGAACTCTTAGGATATCAAGAAACCCACAAAGCCCTGCTGGTACATCATTTGTATTATTTGTGATCAGTTGTTATGGTGTTACCAAAGTATGTTGTTATAAGGAAGATTGTCATGTGACTGTTGTTTTTTAATGTAGTGTAGCAATTTATAAGCATGTACCATGGAGGAAAGGCGTTTGAAATTTGATTGAGCATTCTAGCCAAGTAGTTTTTGTATTTGCATTACAAAGCATTTTTCCATTCAACCCACCCCCATCCATTTTATGTGTGAAAATATCCCAAGACAGAAATAGATATGGGGCACAAGACCAAATTTTAGGAAGTTTTATTTAATTTATTTGGTAAATGTATAAGCCAGTGGCTCCCAGCCACAGTCTACATTTAAAATGATATAAATACAATAAAAATGCAGACTTGAAAACCACTTCAGCTGCATGCCAGATCCAGCCAATGTACTTGTGCAGCATATCATCTGTGCCAGAAAAAACAAAACAAAAACAAAAAATGGTGGTAGCCATGCAACAGTCCAGTCCAGTGAAGGATAATGAAGAGGAGTTGTTAACGGTCGCTGCAACCTCATAATCCTGGTTTAGTAGTCTAACAGCAGTGGAAGGCTGCGAACACGTAATGAGCAGGGCAGGCCAATGGAGCAATCCTATGAATGGCCTAGAAAAAAAAGCCCTACAACCCATGGCATTCCCTAGTCAGCCATGCAGTGTGGAGTGGGGTGGAGGTGGGGGCAGGAGGGAGATCAAAATTAAATGTGCAACAACAAAAAACAAAACCCCTATGCATCCATGTTTTGATCTTCTCTGGCAAGAGGCAGTCTTTCCTGGGCCCTTAATTTCCTGGGGGAATTGCCAGCAATGCAGAGAGAAGCAGTGTTTTCCTTCTCACAGCCAGCAAGATAAGGCGATTTTACAAGGGCTCAGGAGGAGAGATTATTTGCCTGAGAAAATCACCAGTAAACCAGAGAAAAAGAGCAAATGTGCCCCCTGTAAGCTGAGATACTTCTCTCTCTCCCCATCTTGGAACTTTTGGGTTTAAAATATTAGCACGTTGAATGTGTAGCATCACTGTCGGATACTGTTTTCCGTTTTGCTACATCAGTGATAGGTGTTCCCATTCATGTCAGGGTATTAGCCATTATAGCCACAGTCTTGTTTGTGGTCACCTTTTATGTATTTATGTTTAACATTTTAAACTCACCTTTCTGTCTTAAGGAGGTTAACACTGCAAAAATATTTAAAACCTCAGCTGAATAGCAATCTTAACATTGCATTGCTGTTCAAAACAGAGCTAGAACAGCAGCTGTAAAATCCATCATCAAAAGGCAGAATCTAAAAATGCCATCTGGCAAGCCTTAGGTGCCCACCAGTGGCAGCCAGCAGCAGTGGGGCCAAACCAACTTCCTTGAACTCAAGAATGGGACACCACTGCTGAAAAGACCCCCACCCTCTTGCCAACCAACCGTATGCCCAGAGCAGTATGTAGATCAGTGAGGGAGGAGTGATGGGTTGTGGGAGAGAGGGCCAGCAGGAGTCTCAGTAGATGGCCTTATGGTTCTCATAATGGTGGGGCTGATTTTTAAGTTTGCTTCCTTTTTAAGATGATTTGCTTTCCTATTCAAGCCCCCAACTGAACTGACACTGTAAAATATGGAAGTGGGAGTAAAGCAACTGTCCCTAACCTGATGCTGGCCGGAAGTGTTGGACTGCCAGTTGCCACATACCCAGCCAGCAAGCCCCAGCTGCAAGTGGCAGTTCAATACACATAACAGGCACCAAGATGGGGAAGGCTGGTGTAAAAACTCTGCAAATTGTCACCCAACATATTCAATGTGTGCATTAAACTCAATCAGCAACAGGACAGAGCCTGTGAAATCTATTGTGCAAAGACCAGCAAAAGTCCGAAGAAAGACAAACTATTTTTTTGCTATCCTTCCTGCCAGGGTTGAACACATTTGCTTGAGACTAAAGATCACCAGCACTTTACATCAGTGGAGTGACCAGCAAAAGGTCGGTAAGATGGGAAACAGCAGCTGAACATTACAAGTAGAAGCAGGCAAGCAACTAGAGTGCAAATATGCCAGAAATGGTGGGGGTGGGGGGCACTGGAAACACAGCAGCCACAGATTGTTTTATAGATTTTGTCTTAGATACATATATTTAGCATTTGAGGTTCTGGCACTTTGGAGTTAACCACAGTGACAATTTCATATTGTAACTCACACAGGCTGAAGTATTCATATTTCCACTGAAAAAGTCCCTCCACAGAGCTGACAGATACAGCCTGTGATGCGATGTAAAGGCAGCTCAGCAGTTACATCAGCTGGAGAATTGCCTGGATTTAATCAGTTAATTACTTTCTACATATGGGAGAGGAGATTTAAACCTTCTACTCATAAATTTCAGGCTCATAACATTTGAATGTTAGCAACTTGTTTTATTATTTGATAGTTACTGTTTTAAATTCACAGCTACTATTGGTGCCTTGTATTGCTCCAGCTTCTGCAGACATTTGGTATGGAGTCACATGGCTGTAATGGTCTCTGAAAATGAGTAAGACACAGACTGCATTCTTTAAACTAATCTGAAGCAGGCTCATTCATTCAACATGACTGTTCTGGATCAAACAGCTGGAGGTCTGCAGCTGCAAAGTACAACATCCTTCTCCAAACTAGTGCCCTCCAGATGTGTTGGACTGCAAATCCCATAATTCCCAGTCAAATGAGAATTTTGGGAGTTGCAATTTGATATATCTGGAGGACACCAGTTTGGGAAAGGCAGGTGTATAAGATTAAACCTTTTGTTGGCTCCAATTGTAGTTCATATACTCTTGCAAGATAAGTTACTCCTAATACTTTAGCTATACTTGGGCATATCCACATGACAAACATATTGCTTTTATACCATTTCAGCTGTAATGGCCTTCCTCCAGTGAATTCTGGAAATTATTGTTGATCAAGCTGCAACTCCAGTTGTTGCTCTCTGGCAGAAGAGATTTGTACTGTCAATGTGGGCTTCAAGTTTCTAAGGGCTCCTGGGCAAGGTACCTACAGTGGCCTCTTTCCGTGGCTTACCCCTTCCCCCTGACTGTTGGTCATTTGTTGGTTTCCTGGTTTTTGCATAGTTCTTTCCCATTCAAAATGGTCAAAATTCCTCTCCTAAGATTTAGTTTATGGCTTTCAGCAAAAACATGCAGGTATAGTGGCCTTGCATTTGCCTTTGGCCCTCTCAAAGCTGGAATGCAGCCTTTGAAAACTTATCCAAAATGGAATCTAACCCTTTGGCTGAAAGAGGTTTAACACCCCTGTTCTAAGCTCTAAACCAGATGTCCACTTCAAGATAATTTTTAAAAAATCAGCCTTTTCTAGACTAGATTTATTTGTGTGTGTGCCTTGTCAGGAAAATATCAATACACAATATAGAGAGAGAGAGAGGAGGGAGGAGTGCATGTCTTGAGGGCTAGGTTGTAATGCCAGGAAGCTCTCATGCTCCCCTTCTTAGTTCCATAGTCCCTTGGACCTGACATTTCAGGTTAGAGAGAATATCTAAGACAAGCTGTTTGAATTGAGAATTCCTGGCTCGCTTGACATTGTACAGGATCAAGCTATAATCCCTCAAGTTCGATGAGATTAACAGGCCAGCACACATCCATCTTCTTCTGAAGTACCTCAGAATAAAAGTAGTGCAAAACAGCAAAGCAACAGTGGTCTGTAAAGTGATGTGACTGCTGGGATAGCAAGCTTCTTTCCACTCCACCCTTTCTTTGCATCAGAAAGGGAATACACATGCACATGTATAGTTGCCCCAATGAATCATCTAATGTAGAGGAGAAAGTTTGAAAGAAAACCATTTTTAACTTCATCACATAAGCAGCCAAACTGGAGTTCTGCCAGAAATGTCATGCTTGGGACTTGTATGATGTCATTGAACTAACAAAAGAAAATGCAGAATTAATAGCACAAAACAGTACTTTGTATCAAATAAAAAAGCATTCTCTGACCTGGTACTCTTTGGATAGTTTGGACTCCAACTCCCATCTGCCCCAGCTGAATGCTGGTAGTGCAGAATATTTCAAGGGTACTAGGTTGGGGTAGGTCATATATACAATTTAGGAAATGTGGGTGGAGACTGAAAAAATGTGCCTTGTTTGAGATTATCCATTAATGGATGTTTTGAAACAGGGACTTTCTAACTTAATTTATTAAGTATTCTTGTCAATAACTATGCCCCATAGTAGTAAGGGAGAAAAGGATTTATAGCTAAAGCATAAAAGTTTTGAAAACCATATATTCTTTGAGTGATATTATTTGAAAGACAAGAGGCTTCCTCTTTTGCATTTTTATTTTGTAACTTGGAAACCAAAATCAAAACCAAAACCAGAAAAACAATAAAAATAAAATAAGTTGCTATTTTCTTACATGGAACTAAAGTCAGTCTATTACAATGACTGCATATTTACTTTATGCCCTGTATGTTGTATATGTAGCAATACAAGCCACTATTATTAGATATAAGTATGCATAAACTTCAGCAAAGGCAGCCTAATATCAATTTATTTGTCCACTGGTAAATTGCAACTAAAAACTACCCTTAAAAAGTAGAATGCTTCATCAAGCTTTTCACACATTGGCTATATTCATGCTGTGCAGTTTCTTACTGAGTTGTTGGGTTCAGACAATTGTTTGTTTCCATGCTTGTGTGCTTTCTACCCTCTTCCATCATTCCTCTTAATTGCAGCAAGTATCCCATCAACCCCTGCTGCTGAAATTAAATCCCAAAGTGCACTGCTCCTGCCTATATTGTTTGCCCCTCTCTCATTGGTCCACATATCCCCTTGGGCATGTGCTCAGCCACCTCCTTTAGCCTTCGCCCCCCCACCCCCACCACTCAGCCAAAGCAACCGCTTACTGGAATAGCATCTTGCTCTAGAGTAGCACTCTGCAGTGTTGCCATGTTCTATGCCAAGGTGTAAGCATAGCCACCCACTTCTCTTCCAGTTCCTTCCTTGCTGCAGATGTCGCCATAGTGCATGTTGCCGGAGGCCTTCCCCCCCTGCAGCCAGGTGCATCTGTGCAGGAGGCGGTGTCCTTTCCTGCCCCCACTCACACCAGCGCCATGTCCCCATCCTCAGAAATCTGTTACGCATGGCGACAGCTCACCTGGCAGCCCTCCCCCATGCTAGGTTGTGTTGTGCATGGCTTCATCTGGCCCAGCCCCTCCCTCCCTCTCCACCAGTCCCCACAACCAAGCCCTCCCCACAGGAATCGCACCACTTTCGCAAAACATGTCTCTATTTCTGCAACCTCGCAGCGACTTCAGTGTAGAGAAAGGATGCTGTGCCAGAAAGAAAAGTGTGCCAGGTGTTAATAAATCTAGCAGCCTCGTCTTTAGGAGATTGATAGCCTACCTTTTGGTCCAGTGATTACTTCTCAAGGTAGCTTACAAGCAACAGGTAGTTGTTGTGGTTATGTGCTGTCAAGTCATCTTCAACTTACAGCAACCACATGAATGAAAGCCCTCCAAAATCTCCTGTCCATGACAGCGCTGCTCAGCTCTTCCAAGTTCAAGGCTGTGGCTTCCTTTATGGACTCAGTCCATCTCAGATTTGTTTTTCCCTTTTGACCCTACCATTTAAAAAACCTCCCTATGTATAGTCATGCATGTATGTATCTGTATCTTTCAACTAAGGAGAAGCTTGGGGTAACTGCCAAAGAGGACTATAGGCAATGGAAAGGTATGCTGCAATAAATCTATCAGCTGTTAAGGTGCCCCACAACTTTGTCAGTTTTGCTAGAAAAGGCTAACAGCAGTGGCCCCAGAATCTGGGGTGTTTTCTCATTTGAGGGCAGAAGTATGGTTTATTTTATATAAAGCCTCACTCTTCATCTGATGTGTGTGTAAGATTCTTTTTGAGCTGTGTTTTCACCACATTTCAGGTTGCTGGGTGGAGCCAGAGACTGAAGCTTGCAGTGACTGCAGCCTATTGCTTTAGTATGCTTTAGTTTGGAGGTGGTGGAGACAGGGGATTTCAGGGAGAGACATCTTTTCTTTGTTTCCTCCCTCTCTCCCTTCATTCTGTGGATTCTCTTGTGTTTTTCAGCTACAGACTGTTGCTAGATAAATGGCACATGTGCTGGTTTTGTAGCTTGAACCCCACAAGCAAGCCCCCTCTCAATGCAGAGGATTCTGTATACGTAGCAAAGCATAGTGAAGCAGTGAAGGGTATCTTAGGATGTAGGTGATGATGTAGAGAGGAGGTTGCATCTGGTGGGCTTTGTGCTTAAAGCAACACCAACACCAACAGAGCCTTTCTGTGATGGGTCAGAGTGGCTGAAAGCCAGAGACAGACGGGAGTTGTCCCTCTCCTTACGCTCCTTGCAAGATCACAGGCATCATGTCTCTCAGAAGCAGTCACTTGGAAATGACAATGAGAGGGGGCGATTGCCTCATGCCCTGCGTGGGGGCATTCTAGGGCCAACTGGCAATGCCCACTTGGGAAACCAGCATGCTGGAATACATGGGGCATTGATCCTATCCCACAGGGCTCTTCTTAAGCCCTTACACTTGCTTCTCCTCTCTGAAGAGACAGCTTAAGCTCTGCTAACCCCGATAATTTCAGCTTCTTAAAAAATAAATAAATCACAATTCCTGCCCTTCACTGTTAGAGTCCTGCTGCCCTATCTTGAACCAAACAGTACTTTTACTTTGCAAATAATCTTAACCACAACCCATGAGGCTCTTCATAGTGTAGGAAGGTTCTCAGTATGAGAGAGATTGAGAGAGCGCGCGCGTGCACGCTAGAGAGAGGGCATGCACAGAGCAAATTCAGAGTACTGACATGCATTTTTGTTTGTTTGTTTCAAGTTGGCTAAGTAGTATAGCTTATCCCAAAAATGCATTCTTTTTGCTAATCATAATCCTAATAATAACACCAACAACCTGGCTTTTTGGACATTCTGTTTATCACCAGAATGTCAAAAAAATCCAGATATGGCAGTTTCATTTTTATTGGAAATTTTATAGGTAGCTTTGAGGGAGATAAGAGAGAAGGAAACATTAAGGCTGTGAATAAAAGATTCAAGTGCGAGTAGGAAGAAGTTACAGTTACATGATACAAGGAGGACATTGAATAACCAGTAAATGTGTAAAATGCAGTGGCTCCAAGCTTCAGATCTGTTGCAATGATGTAGTATAACCACTGTACAGAAGGTTGGCACAGGTTTGGTTGTGCCTATCATCTTTTTTGAAGTAGGAGAGGTAAGATTGGGGTGAGACTTAAAAACAGAACTTTCACAGGCTGCTCCTCCCAAATAGGCGATTTTACCTGACCTTACACCAACTCATGGGACTGAACTCAGCATAAGGGTCTGTATAATTTGTGTGTGCATGTTTGATACATAAATACTCAGGTCCTACCACCCCTAAAGAACACATTCTGTTTAGGTACATAATAAATAGTCCTTTAAATATTCCACTGATATGACTGGCACAGGCATAAAATATGCACAGAGAGGCATTTGTAAGTCCTCTTGTTGGAGACTGTATAGCATTTGTATATCACTTGACATGTAGCTGGAGCTGTATACATGATAAACCATGGTAATATCTCTTGTAAGTACAATTAAGTTAGTCATATTTTAGTAGCTAGGGCTGGCCTAGCATTAGGTGAAATTTTGGGTGACATTAAAATGTCAGCAAATCGATGATTGTGGTGATGATAATGCTAATGAATAATAACACTATTTACTATAGGGAGTGAAATTTCAGTTTTTTTGCTTAGGATTCTTAAATTATTTGGACTGGTTCTATTACACTGATGATTGAAATATTAAAAAGCAAGAACATGAGAAAAGCCATGCTGGATCAAACCAATGTTTCATCCACTCTGGCACTCTGATTTGTCTGGGGCAAAACCCACAGCATCTGTCAAGCAGGATGGGTACAAGAATTCTGCCTGCCCAAATTCCCCAGCAACTGGTATACACAGAGGATATATCAACTCTGATAACTTAGGTAGTACATAGCCAGCAATGCAAGTAACCATTGGTAGCCTTCTCCTCCATGAGTTTGTCCACTCCTATTTTGAAGCCATCCAAATTGCTGGCCATCATTACTTTTCACATTTCTGCACTTGCAAAGAAGTACTTCCTTTTATCTGTCCTGAATTTCACACCAATCAGCTTCATGAGATGGTCTTAGGTTCTAGTATTATGGAAGACAGAAAAAATGTATATCCCTCTCTACTTACTCCAGACCATGCGTAATTTTAAACACATCTGTCTTGTTTCCCCTTCCTTGACTTTTTTCCTAAGTTAAATTGTTTCAGTTGCTGTACATGTTCCTCATAGGGGTCCAATTCCTTGATCATTTTAGTTGCCATTCTTTGTACTTTTCCCAACTCATTAATGTCCTTTTTCAGGTGAAGTGACCAGAACTAAACACAATGTTCTAAGTACAGTTGTACCACAAGGTGAGTAGGACCTTGACAGTTTTATTTTCATGACCTTTCCTAATTATGCCTAAAATGGAGCCTGCCTTTTCAATAACAGCTGTATGCCAGGTTGACATTTTCATTGAACTGTCCACCACAACCCAAAGATCCCTTTCTTGATCAGTCACTGCTATTCAGATTCCATCAGTCTATACTTGAAGTTGGGATTTTGGCCTCAACATGCATTACTTTCTGCTTGCTTACATTGAACTGCTTTGTATTTTGATGCCTGTTCTTCCAGCTTGGAGATCCCCTTGCAGCTCCTCACTATCCCTTTTGGTTTTAACCACCCTAAGTAGTTTGGTGTCATCAGCAAACTTGGCCACTGTACTGCTTACTCCTAATTCCAGATCATGTTGAAAAGCACTAGTCCTCATACCGAACCCTGTGGGACCCTACTGGTTACATGACTCAGCTGGGAGAAATTACCATTTATTCGCACTCTCTGCTTTTTAGTCTTTATTTTTTTCTTCTTATTCCATGATTCCAAGTTTGCTCAGGAGGAACCTTGTCAACCTTTGGTGAGGAACCTTGTCAAAAGCCTTTTGGAAGTCCAAGTAAACATTGTCTGTTTACTGACACTTTCAAATGATTTTAATAGGTTGGTGAGACAGGACTTATTTTAAGGAAGCCATGTTGATTCTTTTTCAGCAGGACTTGTCCCTCTGTGTCTTTACTGATTTTTTTCTTTGTTGTTGTTGTTGTTCTTAGTCGTGAAGTTGTGTCCGACCCATTGCGACCCCATGGACAACATTCTTCCAGGCCTTCCTGTCCTCCACCATCCCACGGACTCCACTTAAGCTCACACCCACTGCTTCAGTGACTCCATCTAGCCACCTCATTCTCTGTCATCCCCTTCTTCTTTTGCCTTCAATTGTTCCCAGCATTAGGGTCTTCTCCAGTGAGTCCTTCCTTCTCATTCAAAGGATTTGAGTTTCATCTTCAGTATCTGGCCTTCTAAAGAGCAGTCAGGGTAGATCTCCTCTAGGACTGACTGGTTTGATTGCCTTGCAGTCCAAGGGACTCTCAGGCGTCTTCTCCAGCACCACAATTCAAAGGCCTCAATTCATTGGCACTCAGTCTTCCTTATGGTCCAACTTTCACAGCCATACATTGCAACTGGGAAAATCATAGCCTTGACTATACACGCTTTTGTTGGCAGGGTGATGTCTCTGCTTTTTAGTATGCTGTCTAGATTTGCCATAGCTTTCCTCCTAAGGAGCAAGCGTCTTTTAATTTCTTGGCTGCAGTCCCTGTCTGCAGTGATCTTGGAGCCCAGGAAAATAAAATATGTCGCTACCTCCATTTCTTCCCCATCTATTTGCCAGGAAGTGAGAGGACCGAATGCCATAATCTTAGTTTTCTTAATGTTGAGTTTCAAGCCAACTTTTGCACTCCTCTCCTTCACCCGCATCAAGGGGCTCTTTAGTTCCTCTTCACTTTCTGCCATTAGAGTGGTATCGTCTGCATATCTGAGATTGCTGATATTTCTCCCAGCAATCTTAATTCCAACTTGTGATTCATCTCGCCTCGCCTTTCTCATGATGTGTTCTGCATATAAGTTAAATAGGCAGGGCGACAGTATACAGCCTTGCTGAACTCCTTTCTCAATTTTGAACCAATCAGTGGTTCTGTGTCCAGTTCTCACTGTTTCTTCTTGAACCGCATACAGGTTTCTCAAGAGACAAATAAGATGGTCTGGTACTCCCATCTCTTGTAAGAACTTGACACAAATTGTTGTGATCCACACAATCAAAGACTTTAGCATAGTCAGTGAAGCAGAAGTAGATGCTTTTCTCGAACTCCCTAGTTTTCTCCATGATCCAGTGTATATTGGCAATTTCATCTCTAGTTCCTCTGCCTCTTTGAAATCCTGCCTGTACTTCTGGTAGTTCTCGGTGCACATACTGCTGGAGCCTAACTTGTAGGATGTTGAGCAAAGCTTTGCTACCATGTGAAGTGTGTGCAGTGGTGCTGTACTTTGAAAATTCTTTGGCATTGCCCTTCTTTGGGACTGAAATGTAAACTGACCTTTTCCAATCCTGTGGCCACTGTTGAGTTTTCCAAATTTGCTGGCATATTGAATGTAGCACTTTTACTGCATCGTCTTTTAAGATTTTGAATAGCTCAGCTGGAATACTGTTGCCTCCACTAGCTTTGCTGTTGCTCAGACTTCCTAAGGCCCATTTGACTTCACATTCCAGGATGTCTGGCTCGAGGTCAGTGACCACCCCATCGTGGTTCTTGTATAGTTCCTCTGTGTAATCTTGCCACCTCTTCTTAATCTCTTCTGCCTCTGTTAGGTCCCTGCCATTTTGGTCCTTTATCATGCCCATCTTTGCATGAAACTTTCCCTTCATATCTCCAATTTTCTTGAAGAGATCTCTGGTCGTCCCTATTCTATTGTTTTCTTCTATTTCTTTGCACTGTTCATTTAAGACGGCATTCTTATCTCTTCTAGCTATTCTCTGGAATTCTGCGTTCAATTGGGTGTATCTTTCTCTTTCTCCCTTGCCTTTTGCTTTCTTGCATTTCTTTTTCTTTGGAATGGTTTTAGTTGCTACCTCTTGTACAATGTTGATTGTTGTACAATCTTTTGGCTTCCTACTTTAGCATTCCAATCCCCCATGATGATAAGGAGATCATTTTTGTTGTTAATTCTAGAAGGTGTTGTAGGCCTTCATAGAACTGGTCAACTTCAGCCTCTTTAGCACCAGTGGTTGGGGCATAGACTTGGACTCCTGTGATGTTGAATGGTTTGCCTTGGATTCAAACTGAGATCATTCTGTCATTTTGGAGATTGTATCCCAGTACTGCTTTTCCTACTCTTTTATTGACTATGAAGGCTGCTCCATTTCTTCTGAGGGATTCTTGCCCGCAGTAGGATACCTGATGGTCATCTGAATTAAATTCACCCATTCCTGTCCATTTTAGTTCACTGATTCCTAAGATGTCGACGTTCAGTCTTGTCACCTCTTGTTTGACCACATCCAGCTTGCCTTGATTCATGGATCTTACATTCCAGGTTCTTATGGAGTATAGATCTTTGCAGCGTTGGACTCTCCTTTCACCACCAGATACATCCACAACTGAGTGTCCTTTCGGCTTTGACCCCGTTGCTTCATTCTTTCTGGCGCTACTAGTACTAGCCCTCTGCTCTTCCCCAGTAGCATATTGGACACCTTCCAACCTGAGGGGCTCATCTTCCGGCGTCATATCTCTTTGCCCGTTGAAACTGTCCATGGGGTTTTCATGGCAAGGATACTGGAGTGGGTTGCCATTTCCTTCTCCAGTGGATCACGTTTTGTCAGAGCTCTCTGCGATGACCTGTCCATCTTGGGTGGCCCTGCATGGCATAGCTCATAGCTTCATTGAGCCGCGCAAGCCCCTTCACCACAACAAGGCAGTGATCCATGAAGGGGTGAAGAGTAATAATGTAGATTAAAAAAACAAATACAGTAACTAAAGGAACATGGACATGATTTAATTCTCCTGGACCAGTTTGTCTATATTATTATCAGATGTAGTAATATTGTTCTGCATCTAGGCATGCTGCTTTAAGAGGACAGGTATCCCTATACTGAGGACATTACTTCAAATCAGAAGAGACATCAGAGGAGGGGAAGGAGAATGGGGCATGACTAAATAGTAGACAACACAAGACCAGTGAGCTGGAATGTGTCCAGAGACGTCGACAAAGTTGGTGGGAGATCTAGAGAACACGTTGTCCTGTGAGCAATGGTTGAAACAGTTGGGTTTGTTTCGCTTGGAGAAAAGATGATTTAAGAGATGATGTGAATGCCATCTGCAAATATTTGAAGGGCTGTCTCATAAGAAACAAATCTTCCAGGGGTTAGGACCTGGACCAAGAGATTCAAACTGTAGGAAAGAGGGTTTTCAGCAAAACTTTAGAAAGGACCTCCTCCTGGTATGGTCTGTTTGGCAGTGGAGCAGTCTTCCTTGGAAGATGGCAGACTGTCTTGAGGGCTGTTACCTATCAATAGTCCTGCTGTAGTAGATTTTCTGCATCAGCAGGAAATTAAACTATATGACCTCTGAGATCCCTTCCAACTCTGTAATTCAGTAGTGCAGTCTGGCAAGAATACTGACATTAGAAATAATGCCCCCAGAATCACTAGCCTGCAAGTGAGTCATTCTCATCATGCAGTGGCAGCATGGGAAAGCAGCCCCTTCCTTACTTTCTCTGTCAAACTATTCTGGAAACAGACTATAATTGAAACTGGTATGGAAGAGATAGTCATACACGTCCTTTTGCTCTGCTGCTGTTTCCACTCAAAGCAGCCCTTCTGCAACTCTACAAAGGCTTGCAAAATATGTTTATCAGAAGTGTTTGGGGGACAGTGCATAGCCCCTGTCATGCCTCCTCCAGCACTCTGAGAAAAACCTGTTGCTTGCTTCCAGGCATACCTGTCCCTTTCAAAGTTCTGTAATTGCAAATGCCTTCCAAGTCTGACTATACAGTATCTTAGAAGTTCATATGTCAATAATCAATACATGGAAGGCAACTTGAATACATAACACATTATACTGAGAGATGAGAGAATTTATTTTCATTCCACATAGGTGACTATTTTTAGATTCCCCACCACCACCACGGCAACAGAGCATTTAATCCTTAAAAGGGCAAATTTATCTGAGCAGCATAAAACTCATCAAAGAGCCGTAGTTTTGGACACTTTAATCTCAAGAGTGTCCCATTTGGATGCTTTAATCTAAAGAGTGTCCCATTTGGCACAGTTTGGACACTTTCTGCTGAGTGCAATGAAATTGCTAAGACTCTCTGAAAGCTGGAACTCTGAAGAAAAGACTAAGATCTATATAAGCTGAATAAACTTTGCGATCTCCTTCTCACCATCCCCCACTCCATCCGCATCAACCACAAGCTACACTCTTGATATGAACCATGTGTTTCAATTATTGAAAACAATACAGATCACGTCTGTATCAACAAGAAGAAT